GGTTAGCTGCGCGCACGCTGAATAGATATGAAGAAGATTGTTGACGATTTTGAAGATTTCCTGCAAAAAGATGATGCGCGATGCAAGTAGATGCGAGAAATCAAAGAAGATTTTTCGAAGTTTGATTCGCTAGTGTGAGATTTGTTGAGCATCTAGAATTGAGATTTAGATGTGTCGCCCCCCTCGCATTCAGATTCAACAAATGCAGTTACTGTTCTTATCCATCGTCAAGTATTGTTAGAGCAACCGTACCAGTCGTTGCCATTTGCGGCACTATTTTACTTACGCACAGCGTTTCCATTTTGGCTTGATCACTCCTCTCCACACCGGTCGTTGCTATCAGAGTCATAATTTAAGTTACCGTTTTCCACACCGGCAAAACAAACTTTTGACGTTTATTCAAAATAGCAACCGTCTGATGCGTTGCTACCGGGTTGCTAAATTTATGAACTCACTACTTCCCAAGGTGCGGATTGCTATTTCCCCCACCTGAATAGCAACCTCCGGTACGCAAGTAGCGTTATGGTAGAGGTTGGTAAATGTGCCTTATTTACTCATTGGTACGGTTGCTCAAGAAATGATCTCCATCACATCACTAAACATAACCACGAGCAATGACGAGGAACTGCATCCCAAACCCCATGATAAACAAGGAGCGGATGCATCCAATGAAACTTTTAAGCGCAAAAGAATCATTACCAACATAGGAAAAAAATTCGGTAAGGTCCTTCCATTGCATTATTTTATGATTCTTCAATATTGTACAAATATTTACACATTACACACAACTACACATAGTAACTCGGAGCGTTTGGTACGGTATTTCCACGCATCCTTCCACCCATGTGTTCCCATTCATTTCCAAGAATCATCTTTGCGGCAAATACAACGCAGTAGGCCCATAGAGGTAACTCTAAGACCACTGGGTCCCGAAGAAAATCATTATTATTTTTGGCTCACTCAGTACCAGAACAACTGTCCCAAGCAGTCCCAAGCTATTTCACTCACCCCTGCATGTTCTGCATGAATCCACACACCCCTGATATTATCTGTCAAACTTTCATAGCGAATCAAAACAAACATAGTGTAGTAATAGAATTTCAACTAGAATAGGGTACGTTAATCGTTTGCTTGGGACCAATAGGCTACTAAAGTGGTGAGCCAATTTAAAATCGTTAGTTTCGTATTGATTGTTGGTAGGCCCATAGAGGTAACTCTAAGACAAGTAGGTCCCGAAGAAACGTGCTCAACTTTTTGGCTCACCTCTGGTACTATCTTCGGTCCCAAGCTTGTCGAATCACCCCTCGAAACATAAGAAAAACCAGTAACCCCTCATTTTATCTGTCAAACTTTCATAGCGAATCAAAACAAACATTGCGTAGTACTAGAATTTCGACTAGAATAGGGTACGTTAATCGTTTGCTTGGGACCAATAGGCTACTAAAGTGGTGAGCCAATTTAAAATCGTTAGTTTCATATTGATTGTTGGTAGGCCCATGGAGGTAACTCTAAGACCAGAAGGTCCCGAAGAAACGTGCCTAACTTTTTGGCTCAACTCTGGTACTCTCTTCGGTCCCAAGCTAGTCGATGCACCCCTCGAAACATAGGAAAATCAACGAATCGCTCATTTTATCTGTCAAACTTTCATAGAGAATCAAAACAAACATAGTGTAGTAGTAGAATTCCGACTAGAATGGGATATGTTAATCGTTTGCTTGGGACCAATAGGCTAGTCAAGTAGTGAGCCAATTTCAAATCAATAGATTCGTATTGATTGTTGGTAGGCCCATAGAGGTAACTCTAGGACTAGAAGGCCCCGAAATAACGTGCTCTACTTTTTGGCTCAGCTCTGGTACTCTCTTTGGTCCCAAGCTAATCGATTCACCCCTCGAAACATAGGAAATACCAATAACCCCTCATTTTATCTGTCAAACTTTCATAGCGAATCAAAACAAACATTGCGTAGTACTAGAATTTCGACTAGAATGGGGTACGTCCATCGTTTGCTTGGGACCAATAGGCTAGTCAAGTAGTGAGCCAATTTAAAATCGTTGGTTTCGTATTGATTGTTGGTAGGCCTGGCCGTATTGATGTTTATATCATATCAGGCATAACATTTGATAACGGCACAAAAGCATTTGTAAACAAACTTTCTAAGGCCCTTTACACGCGAACCAAAGTACGCCCACGCAAACCAACAACATCATCGGATAGGGGCCACTATCAACAATCAATACGAAACTAACGATTTTAAATTGGCTCACTACTTGACTAGCCTATTGGTCCCAAGCAAATCGATTAACGTACCCCATTCTAGTCAAAATTCTAGTACTACACAATGTTTGTTTTGATTCGCTATGAAAGTTTGACAGATAAAATGAGGGGCTCGTGGATTTTCCTATGTTTCGAGGGGTGAACCGATTAGCTTGGGACCGAAGATAGTACCAGAGCAGAGTTGAGCCAAAAAGTTGAGCACGTTTCTTCGGGACCTATTAGTCTTAGAGTTACCTCTTTGCAACTATCACCTTTCCGAAAGTGGTATTGGTTTGCCTGGGCGTACTTTGGTTCGCGTGTAAAGGGCTTTAGAAAGTTTGTTTACAAATGCTCTTGTGCCTTTATCAAATGTTATGTCTGATATCTCAGATATGCTGTAAATCATCAATTAGACAAGAAAAATGATTAGACCTCATCTAACCCAATCATCTTCCAGGATGCTTTCTCGTGCTGGCTGCGTTTTTATTAGATTAGATTAGATTAAATTAGATTAGATTAGATTAACCATCGTCAAGTATTGTTATCTCATAGAAATAATCCATACTTTTTCCTAACACATTCTTAATTTTAATCTCAAAGACAAAACCTAGCAGGCTCAGTGATGAATGTATAAAAACCAGCATAGTTTTTATGACTCAGCTGAGTTTTCAATTACTGTAAAACCTAACAAACTTTGATAGTCATGGGGGCTCGAGCACTCCTGATTCAGTGCTTTTGGCGGGACTCAACCGAGAAAGAGCAAAACAGTTTTAAACTTGAGAAAATTTTCAAGCAGTTTTCCATTGGCTTGCAAAATAAAATCGATCGACTCCGCAGTGCCCAGTACAGAAATAAAGTTTTTTTGTATGGAAAATACGGTTCGAACGAAAACAAGAATATGGGTGTATGACGGGACTCAGAAGTTGAATTAATCTAGTGATCTCTAATGCGTCAAAGACATACTACAATCCGGCATATTGAGCTTTCCCATTTTCAAGTGCGAAGTTTGTTGTACTTAAAAGATGGCGGTAATGTTTTAGCGACGATGTTTTACAGTGATAAATATTCAATGTGTTAGGTCTGTTTGTCTGTGATAATAACTTCACTGTTTGACACTAAACAGACAAATAGACAGCTTGCTCCCATACAAAGTGACACGTATGGGCGCTAATAAGGTGATTTTTGCAAATGTAATCGTTCTTATTTAAAATAGTTCCAGTGTACCAAAATTGATGAAATTTTGGGTTTGGGTTCCATTACGAATATGCATTTACCTCAATACCCTTAAAGAACCCAATTTTCAGACCATCAATACTAGTGCGCATAGAATGGACTATGTCGGACCACAGCGACTACACAACCAGACCGCAGCGCGTATATGCACATAAGAACCCACTGAGCCAACCACCGGCTAATAATTAGAATATCTTATGCAATTCATAAAATGAATAGATGTTTGCTCATCAGATTATCTTATGAAAAATTCAGGAGCATAGTATGAAAAAGACCATCAACGCCGCTGACGTCATTTCCTTCTTATGAATTTCAAAGTTTTTTTTCTTTTGTCGAAATTTCATAAGCATATTTTATGGAGCTCATACGTTATATTTCCTCAGTGTAGTCCAATTTGCAAGGATTTCTTTCGACAAAAGTATCCAACATATTTGTAAGATTTGCTTTATTTTAACTTGATGTTTTCTTTACATGAGTAATTGTTGTTTACTTTTCTTCCCTTTCTTTAAATGTTTATAAATTATACTTCCAAATGATCTAGGGATTGATTTCGATTTTTTAGTCCCTCAAACATACTTTCCAGATCGGGTTCTTCACGTTGTAGATACTAAACTGCAGCTTAGCTTTTTCTATTCTTGCTACTTGTTGTTTGTGATTTGTTTCCTTCTGACTGCTTCAACACAGCGATGAAGCGAATAGATTGGGAAACCTGAAGGTGCTGTCATCGGCGAACGTACTTGTCTGTTTGTAAGTTTGCTAGTTAAAACGAGCAAAAATGCAAACCGATAGGACGTGTCATGTTCACCTGTTGTAGGTAAATCTGTATTTGATTTAACGGTTTTCCCGCCTTTCGGCAGTTTGTTAGTACATCATTTGCTGTGCATTTTGTTTATGTAGGTGTTAAATCTTATTTACTGGACAACTATTTACAATACCACACGGCTGATGAGAGTAACTCAGTAACAGAGTCGAATACAACTCAAAATTGCAAAAAGTGTGGAAACTCAGTGAGTGAGTAAAACGTTCCTCACTTTTCCGGGAAAACTCTGGAATATGACGGAAATCCACCAAAATTTTACTCACTCTAGGAGTACATATACTAATAGATTTTCCTCATACTCAAGAAGTTTTTCCTGGAAAATCGAGGAAAATTATACTCATTCTCAAAGTAACCCCACTTTTTGCAATTATGAGTCAAATTCGATTCAATTATGAGTTACTCGCATCGTCCGTGTATGGTAGTTCATCTTTGTTAAAAACATAATTTTATCTCTGCGTGTATTTGTATGCATACACGAAAATAAGTTACAATGTGTAGCCACTAATTTCGATTCGACAACATAACAACACAACAATCTGGCTAACGAACAAATCTCTCTCGGCAGATTGCTGAATTTCAATCGCGGAAATAAACCAATCTGTCAATCCGCAATGGGGGGCGAGCTTTGTCCGCTCTAATAAAAAAGAATAGGTATTTACAGGTATTTCTATATTATCAATTCATTTCCGACCAAGGTCATGCATAACTTTTTTTTTTCGCAATAAAATTATAGAAAAATGCACAAGCATCTTCAATTCTAATTTTAACCGACTTACTTAAAGTTTTCTCGTCTTCTTAGCAGCTACAACTAAAGGGATGCAACTTGAACATCACTTTTTTCGACTTAAAATCTAATTAAAAAGACAACGTAAAACAGCGTAGTGCCTTACAGCTTCGGATTCTCGAACAGTGGCCCCCGGGTGATTGTGATGTCCGCGTACGGTTCCGGCTGTGTGATCTCAAGGGCTTTGAACTTTTTCAACACCAACAGTGAATAGAACTTTTGAGCGGCCTAAACAAGGAAGAACAAATGTTGTGTTATACTCCTATTACAATCAAAATCTTGCAATATACGAACCTGTTTCTTGTCGTTTCGGTGCGTCATTTCGGACAACACCATGCAGTCAGTCTTCAGAAGCCGCGATCGTACTGAGATGAACAACTGGGCAGCACGTTTGTTCAGCACTCGCTCCTCAAACTGTTCAATTGTCTCATCCACCTGTTGCTCTTCGGTTGTTTGTTGCTGTGAAATAAGAATGATCAAAATTAAACATTCATCTAGGAATACGACGATGAGCAATGAGCAACTTACCCCGCCAACCGAGTGTGGGAACTCGTAGTCCTGATTCCATTCGTTCTGCACGTCATCGTGAAGCGCTTCACGAGCCGGAGAAGCGGCATGTCCTTCGTAGCCCATGTTGGAAAAATTTTCCATGCCCGGTTCGTTCAGTATCGACGAGACCTGATCCGCCGGCAGGTGGGGAATCTGATCGATGTGCTCCAAACTGGAATGATGTGGCGTCATGCCACCGTGGTCCAGTCCGTGCGGTGTCATCGCACCAGGCAGATCTGGCATAACCTGGCCAGAATTGCCGTGCTGCAGTCCAGCTGGTGTCATTCCACCGTGTTGAAGATCTCCAGGTGTAAGACCACCGTGCGCCAACCCAGCGGGTGTGAGTCCACCATGTGCCAGTCCTGCGGGCGTTAGCCCCCCATGCGCTAGCCCGGCTGGTGTTAGCCCACCATGTGCCAGTCCAGCAGGTGTAAATCCACCATGCGCCAGCCCAGCGGGTGTTAACCCACCGTGGATCAGATTTCCCGGTGTCATCGGTATACTTGGCATTCCCGGGGTAGGAGGCATCATCTGAGGGGATTGCATACCCAGATTGAGAGGTGTCTGATTCGGGCTTTCGATATTACTGATACCCGGTGTGGTCGGAGGAGGCATCATACTTCCATCGGGGTGGAAGCTCTGACTGACATCCTGACACATGTCCTGGTCTCGCAACTCCATTGAAACCGGCGTTGGGGGTGGCATTTCGACGGCATCACGCAACTGATCGACCGAAGTCTGATCCAAATGAGCTGGAGTGGCAGGTGTCATCGGTGTCATTGGCATCGTCGGTGTCATTGGCGTCATTGGAGCTGGAGTATCCGGCGGTAGCAGATCTTGAATGACCTTTCGTTTTCTACCTCGACGCTGAGTCACTGGGGATTCCGGTCGTTCCGGTTGCTGCTGTTCAACGCCTAGTACGTCCAAAGGACCCAACACAGCAAAGTCTTCCACGCCAATCGAACGGGACGTCAGATGTCGCTGGTAGTTTTTGAACATGCACCGTGCTGGGATGTCTCGAGATGGCAAGGCAAACAGTTTTTCCACTCCACCCGTCTCCTTCCAGTACATCAACCGCTTTGTCGGAGGTGCCAGATCCAATGTTGTCACGATATCCGTCGTATTGGCCAGCTGACTCTTCATTTCCTCACCGCTGATATTTTTCACCTCATCGACAATCAGTTTCCGTTTACGTTTACTCTTTGTTACACCCTTCAAGGCGGAAGCGTCCACTGGTGCCAATGCGAAGCTTTCCTCCTCGTTTTGCAACAAGGTTGTCTGTTCTGCATGACCTTCCTGACCACCAACATCTTCACCCATTATGTCGTCTTCTAATTCCGTTCTCCTTTCAACTTCCTTCTGCGGTTCCGCCGTCAAAGAAGTTGATGCTTCTACGGAAACATCCTGAATCACTGGTGCTATCGGCATACCGTCCTGGCTCGTTCCCGGTTGCTGCAGATCATCCAACAACTGCTGCGTCATAATCGGAGTCGGTGGCCGCGAATTGTCCGAACTCGGTGCTGGCGACGGAGCACCACCAACAACGTCAAAATGGTCGTCATCATCGTCATCGCTGTCTTCTTCCTCGCCACGTTGTACCTGTGCAGGTGCAGCCGGTAGCTCCGGTTCCGGTGCCAGGGGAGCATCAGCGAAAATGTCACCCTCAAACAGTCCGGCAGCTGGTTCCGCACCGAAACCTTCGTCGCCGAAGCCGTCGTTGTCCACTGCATGGGGATGGTGCGGATCGAAGGAGTCCAACACCGATCGGGACGTTCCCGGGAGGGGTTCCTTTTCCTGCTCGAGATCCGGCGGAGGTGCGACCGGATCGGTGAAGAGGTCGTCCTGCGTGAGTGAACGGGAAAGTAGATTAAGGTTATGTGGGTACGAAAAATTTTACGAAAAATGTAAATTAGTACAAACAACTGCTATTATGACTAGACAGGGATTTTTAGACGAAAATTATTACTGTTCTACGGAAAGTTAACCCCGGATACCTCCACCACATTTTGCTACTACCGTGTGTAGAGTTTCATTTCAGATCACCAGGTTTGGATTGAGGCCTCACAAAAGTAAACCAGACGACATGTAGTTTATGTTTGGATTACGCATCAAAAGGAATGAGGATAGCAGGCCACTTGTCGGATTCGTAGACGCGGACTGGGCCAACGATACAGAGATTGCAAGTCAGTAACGAGCTTTCTGTTTAGCTGCCAACTGCTTTTAAACCCTACCCCTTAAGTGAAGCAGAATACGTCGCTATAACTGAGTGCAACTGTATCCTAAATAATATGGTTGGCCGGAGTTGTAAAAGACCTCAACTGCAAGGCACCGATAGATTCTGTCGGTATTGACACAGCTGGCATAGTCTACTGAGTCGAAGCGGATTATATCAACATCAAGCACCATTATTTTTTGATACCATTCCATATAGCACCGCTAAATAGCTACCAGTCGTATAGGAATGTTCCGCATTACCGATAAAAATCATTAAAAATAACTTGATTTTCAAAACGGCCGATCAACGGAATTTTTCGAATCATTCATAGACCCACATGCTAGGCCCTACTCCTTGAGGCAGGGCCGATGATTTGTTTTACATTTATTTGACGTTAAGAAAAAGCTCTGAAAAGGGCCTTCCATTTCTGATGACAAGTACAACGGTTTAACAAAAAGGGCCTAACGATTGAAACATTCACAAATAGGCTTATTAGTTTATAAAATTAAATTGTTATCGATATTCATGTATTTTAGAAAACTTTTCGCATATTTTGGCTGCTGTGTACTGAGATTCATTTTCTGGTTTGCTTACATTTTGGACATAGGCTTTTTTTCAAATGTTACTGGAGATTTCACGGATCCACACTGAAAAAGAATCTTACACAGAGAGTGAGTGACTCCATTCGAATTGAGGAATTTCTAAAAGCGTAGGTCACTCAGCGCTGAGTGACCAACGCTTTTAGAAATGCATCCATGGTCACTGATTGAAAAGGAGTGCTATAGATCAAATAATCGAATAAGAAGGACCATTACAGTCATCACAGCAATCGAAGCCTTTCGAAATGGAACGCCTTTTGGCATAATGGTAATTCGGCATAATGGACGTTTGGCATAACTATATGCACACTTAAACAGAGACCCTGAGTTCGGTAAAAAAATTACCGTCTTAGATCGGTAATGCTAAAAATTACAGATGTTTCGGTATTTTCTCGCTTTATTGCTGAAAACTGTAAGTGAAATGACCGAATTTCGGTAATTTATTTTAATTTACCGAAAACGGTAAACATTTTTACCAACAGGTCTGTAAATAAGCTTCATCACTGACTTCGGTGAAATATTTTACTGAAGTTTCGGTAATCAAAGCGTTCCATTACTGAGTTCCGTAACGGTCTAGGTAAACGTCAAATCCACCATATTGTTATTTTCGATCGACATTAAAGGCGTTAATCTTCTTCCAATGCTTCCTTGTTTTCAGTGTAGCGCCGAATCTTTCCGACAAAAACTTAAGTTTTCAGATCGTCGCCAACGGTTTTGTTCATTGGTGGTGCAATTTGCAACACTAACTTATTGATCACGACTGCAGCCAAATTTTTGCATGGGTTGCAGTGACCGCCACCTTGAAACAATACTAAAGCAAATAGCAGTTGAGTCGGTGACCTTTTTAAAAAATTACAGATCTCTCGGTAATTTCCGATTTGCATACCGTACTCAAAATTACAGTTCTCCGGTAAAGTCGACTACAAATCAAGCAATGCACATCGGTAAACGTTACCGATCTTTCGGTAAATTTGACAGCTAATTTTGCTGATCCAGTTTACAGATTTTTCGGTAATGTTCTCGATTACCGAAAACATTACCGACCGTTCAGCTGTTGAGAATTCGGTAAATGAATTACCGAAGTCGGTGATTTTTTCTAAGTGTGTGGAAATCTCTTCCAGATGCAAAACATAACAACACTAGAGTCCTGTAAGATAGAGAAGCTAGAAATCGTATCTGCACTGGCACATAAGTGCAGTCAATCGAACAGAAGACCTATCACTGGGTAGAAAACAATTAACCACTTCATTCGAGCAGTTGAAATGACGTTTACTACCACTCGAACTTTGAACTAAAACATTATTTTGAGATTATTTTTCTTCTAGAACCACGAGAAAAGTAGCCATCATTTGTGCGTTTCATAAAAATAGAAATTAGTTGGTTCAATTTTGTGGAATCGCTGGTAGAAAGTCACGCTAAAACTGCTTGACAAATTGACCACTTTCCAATTAGATTGTATTATTGCTATCACCCGGAAGATAATAGGACAATATATTAATAACATAAAATCCATATTGGGTAGGATGGATTAGCACTAAAAAGAGTTTAATTTACTTTCCCGTGCTTTTCTTACGAGAAAAGTAAAGTAAACGCTTTTATTCATATGACCTATTGTAAGGAGATATATTAGAACATGAGAATAAATTAAGAATCATCGCAAACATATTTTCTATAACGTTTGACCTCAAGCCTCAATTCTTACCAATAACAACAATACACAACAAAAGCGGTAAGTCATGCAAGGTGTGGACCACGTTTAGGGTTGTTAGTTCGTGTGAAAAAATATCGTCATGTTACCAGTTATTTTATTTGTCTTTGCGTATATCTCTCGTATAGGGCTCTACTACACACTTGCATTATGGGCTGTTCATAAACTACGCAGACCAGCATTTCTCAATCCATGGGTCGCGTCCAAGGGAAAGCTAGGCTCAAACGTCGGCCCATGACTATGCTCGCTATGACTACTTGTTATTAGTAGGGAGGTGGGATCAAACCTATCCAGCTCACTAAAGGGAGTCGATTCTTTTGAACAGCTCTTCAGCTCACATTGAAATTATAGAAATTATGACACAACTTCAAACCGGAAAATTAATTAGTGGTTTTAGTACTTGAAACTGCATAAAATCGTAAAAGTAGTCTAAACCAATAAATCCATACCTTACAACATGGCTCTTCTTTTCAATGGAAAACGCCACTAACGCAACATCTGATCAAACATCGCGTAAACATACGTACCGATTTTATTTCTGATGTTAATTCTCCAGCAAAATTTCCCCCACTATTCTTGGCTTCAGCTCCAGATCATCAGCTCAGAATCGGATCTGGAGCTGAATCGTGAATAATCGATAGAGTAAGGAAAAAAGATCCGAATAGCTGGACGGGTCCGAGAGTTGTCATCCTAATATACTGGAGAGCTGCCCTTAGATTTTCGGTTATTTGCTTTTGTGCGTATCTTCCGCTCCTCCAGAGATGGGAGGAGAAGTGAGAGCACATATGCTGGAGGAATAACATCAGCAACAAGAGTCGGGTATGGTTTTTGATCTAATTTCCGTCCTACTTAGCACATCCCGCACTTTACCTCTCTTTTTTGAAAGGGTTTGAACAAAACATGGAATGTTTTCATCAAAGATAATTTCTAAATTTATTCATCGTTCCATACGTTGGATTTGATAAAGTGACAAACAATTTTGAGAAATTATTAAAAATCTAACACTGCTTCTTGATTCTAAATTCGTCCTACGAGTTTCAATTCCGTCGTAACGCATTGAAACGCCATTAGATTTTCTTCGTCCTACTGATGATGGTAGAAAAAGTGGATTAGCTAGAAGCGCTTCTTTTGTTTTGAGAACAATGAGTGTTAATATTCATACAATACGCATATGAACTAACAGATTGGAACAAACGTATTATTGATTTGTGCACGGAGAAATCATTGATATTATTGATGATTTCTGCTCGATAGAACGGAAATGGGCGATTACGAAGAAGTAGCGCTCTTCCCTACATAAATAAATTGCATAATACCAGTAGAATATTCACGGCGAATGAGAACGACCCAAATTTGAGTTTAGTTCACTCATAATCGCCAAAAGTGCAGGAACTCAGCGATGAGTAAAATTTGTCTCGTAGTTCGAAATTGACGAAAATTTGATTCAATCTCGGAGTAGTACCAATCAGTGCTGAGCTTTGTCATTGTCATTGACAGACTTTATCCTCAAAAAAACCTTCGTCAAAATCTCATTCATTTTTTCGTCATTTAACAAGATTCACCTGGTAACAAAAAGTCTAATTTAGTACATTCTGTGTCACATTATTGTTATCCAAGTAGCTCAGGATGTAGATACTTGTTCACTAAAATGGATCCATGTAATTGTTTTGCTCAAGTCATTTAATTTCGTTACAAATTTAGCTAATAAACAAATCTGCACATGTTCGTCACTGACACCATTGTCATTGACAATTGACATGGTTTGCCTTGACTATGACTGTTATCCCAAATGAGTGACCAAAGCAGAATTGTCAATATCACCGTGTACTGTCGAGATTTTGCAGCACTGGTACCAATAGCCTGAGTGAATCCAATCTTTACTTTTCTCAAATTCGGGAATTTTTCCCTGGAAAATCCTGGAAAAACCTGGGAAAACATGAGACAAATTTTACTCATCGCTGAGTTCCTGCACTGTTGGCGATTATGAGTGAACTAAACTCAAATTTGGGTCGTTCTCATTCGCCGTGTTAATATGTCTCTCTCTCTCTCCCAAACAGCCGCTTGGAAGTTTGCTTTTACCGTCGGTGCTGTCGATCAGTAGGCACATGTTGTATTGAGCGCGCGTCTTGGTTTACGCGGTCCTTTTCTGAAAAGTTCCGCTATGAGTGATGGATTGAATGGTTTAGACTTGTGATATCAGTGAGCTGATGAGCTGCGGTTCCTTAAAAATGAACCGCGGGTCATCAGCTCACTTTAGAGAATCGGATCTATAGAACAGCTCGGGAGCGGATCGCCCATCTCTAGTAGAGATAGGGGTGCC